AACATTCAGGCTGCCCTTTGCTACATAAATTTTGGCATCCTTTTTTTCTGCTGGCAACGTGGGCATTGTGAATCTTGGCATTCATAAACCAGAGTTGGACTTAAAAAAAAAAAGAACTGAATTCAAGTAAGACATAAATTTATGTATACAAGGAACACTTGTGGTCTGTGTGCTACTTTACCCTGCTGTCAAAGTACTAATGTCATGAGCATACCCTAACAATCCTGTCTTGATTCTGGGTGCAAAGCCCATTCAGCTATCTAAGATCATCAGGTAAATCTAGGAAAGAATCCCTCCTAAAGCCCTGGAAAATTGTTGCCAGCCAATGCTGACAGAGATGGCTTAGATGGAGCAAAGGTGTGACTCTGTATAAGGCAGCTTCCTATGTTCCTATAGGAACAGTCCGATCTGTTAATTTATTTTGCATGGCATACAGTTTCATAATTACCACTCCAAACCAAGCAGTTTGGTTTTCTTCATTAAACTCTAGTAATTTCTGCTAAAACCTGGGGAATGCTTTTTTTAAAGCAAGTTCTTTGTTGCATCTGATTGTGGAGGAGAGTTGGAATGCATGAAGGCGCAGTATTCAAGGCTTTTGGAATGAATTTGTATAGGAAACCTTTGTCTTTTTAACACATGGTCTCATGCAGTTGGCTCCATTTATATCCCGATTGTTTTCATCTCCTAATTCTATTAAGCAAAGGCTTGCTGCTGCTGTTAGGTGAACTACTTTTGATAATAAACCAAGAAGCCAAACATTTATCTTAGAAATGATTTATCCCATTGTTCCAGTGATGTATCTGGATTTTCAAAATATACACCTAAATTATGGTTTTATGTTTCTGATTCTAGGGCTCTTGAAGTTCTCAAGGGAAAAAATATATAGCAACAACCCATTCCATCACCTTGCAGATGCCAAATGGAGATCCATCAGCTGCTATGGCCATTTTAGATCTCTCCAGAGAAGACTGATGACATTTGAGAAGAGACAGAGGCCAAGCAAAAAACTGGGAGTTAAAAGGAGAAGTTCATTGATCCAAATGGAGAAACCATGACCTCAGAACGTTATGAATAATCAACTATTATATTGATAGCTATGCCATGTTAGCATAATCAGCCAACAGAATACTAATTCTTGATGGAAAGGCATTTAAAATGTCATATTCTACTCTACAATGTAATAATTACAGTCTGTTGCTCCTTCTTGCCACAGTAATTAACTGCTAAAATGAATTGTTTAATCAGTCTGCAAAAGTTGTTTATTCCATTACTGCACTGCCAAAGATTTTCTCATGAATATGCATAGACAAGATCTGCCTTCCTTGCCAATGTCCCACAGATACCCAATCCACAAAATCAGAGAAATGCTTCTGGAATATTTCTAACAGAATCCAGCAAAACCAGGGCAAGAACACATATAATCAATACAAAAGCAACTTTAGCTGTGGCTAAGGGAGGGGTGATCCACTTGTGGCCCTTGAACCCAAACACTGTTGGACTGCAACTCTCATTATTGGCTACGATAGCAAGGGAGGTGCAGTCCAACAACCTTTGGAGAATGATAGGTTTCCTTCATTTGATCTAAGACAACAGTGCTGGCAAGGCAGCAAACAAGTCCTTGTGTGCTTATAGCTCAATTCAATTGGGGGGGGGGCACAAGAAAAAAGGTGTATGTTGAACCTTAAAAACAATTTTAAAAACATAAAGATTTATTGCAACAGTAGCATATTATTGGTTCAGGCAATAAATATGCCACTCTAAAGGCATCGATCATTCATTATATTGGTGTAACAATTGGTTTCTTTCCAAGAATTTTGTATGATAGTCCATCTGATGATAAGCTTCTTCCTGCTAGAAATTTATCCTGGGGAGAACCTTCCAGTTCTAAAGAAGGGAGAATATTGGCTTCACTACCAGTTCCTGATATCTGTTTATAGCCGCATGGGGAATGCATTGGCTCTCCAGACATGACATCACTCCAACTTGCAAACAGCCGTAGGCAGCAGAGCCAGTGTTGAGGGATGATAGGAGCTGCAGTCCAGCAACAGTTGGAAGACCACACATCATGCATCGTGCATTTAGTTTTCAAGGCAGTGTTTTCCAAATCTTTCTTTGTAGTTAATGTGTGTGCCTAGAGCATTATCTGAATAGGTAAGAACTGATGGCCAGCAAAAGGGGACTTGCTTTGCTCACCCCAAACCCATAGTTTTTCCCTAACCACTCCCACTTCAAAGGCTGTCTCACGCACATTCAGATCTACAACTGGTCTTGAAAGGCCAATTAGAAGGAAATTATCCTTGAAGAGAAGCAAAACTGCTAGGAAGGATTGGCTGGCATAGGAATTGCTTAAGGCTCCCCATGTTGCCCACTGTATTGTTCCTTTTAAATTACTTCCCCTGCCCTGAAGCATAAGTGTCCTGAAGAAATACCATATTACAAATTTGGTTTGATAGGCCTGCCCTTAGGATTCCCATCTTCTCTTCTCCTCCCCACAGCAGGGAAAATTCACTTTGATTTGCTCTGACTTGTAGTTTATCAAGTTGGGTCTCCACAGATGAAACCACTGTAGCCGTCCATATGACAATTTGCAGGAGTCAGCAGGGGCAGACTCAAAGAGCTCAGTTTGCACAGAAGCTCCAGAACTTGGAGTTTTGGAGCAACTTCCACCTAGTTGGCAACTTCCACCTCTCTTCTTTTAAAAATTGTTCTCTTAAGTGCCTTGGCAACAGCGTGTTCCAGAGCTGAGCTGAAATTCCTCTTTTGAAAAAAAAAAAGAACTGGTTTGGGGACAAGGGACACTCAGTTTAGGGCAGTGATGGCTAACTTTTTGAGCCTGAGTGCCCAAACGGCGACACAAAAACAAATTATTTCTTTCGAAGTGCCAACACAGCAATTAAATCTGAATACTGATGTTTTAGTTTAGAAAAAACAACTCATACAGTTGTCTGAATTAATCATCACCTTTTGTCTTCAAAACATAACAAAACTTTCAATGATACCAACACTTTTTATTGAAAAATAACCATTAACTCTACTAAATGGAAACAAATATTAAAGTAATACAAGCCAGGTAATCTATACAAACTTTTAAAATAATTATATGCATCGATGTTTGATAAAGGGCACTCAACTTGACATGCTTTTGCACAGCCTGATTTTTTGATGTTGTATGCATGCTGATAATTTGTCAAACCTTGGCCCATATGCTGTTAGTTTGAGAGCAACACATGCAGCATCCAGACAACCCAGATAGTGTGGCTGCTGACCTAGAGCCAGACATCCTGGAGAGTGAAGTCAAGTGGGCCTTAGAAAGCCTGGCTAACAACAAGGCCAGTGGAGGTGATGACATTCCAGTTGAACTATTTAAAATCTTAAAAGATGACACTGTTAAGGTGCTACACTCAATATGCCAGCAAGTTTGGAAAACTCAGCAGTGGCCAGAGGATCGGAAAAGATCAGTCTACATCCCAATCCCAAAGAAGGGCAGTGCCAAAGAATGCTCCAACTATAATTCCACTCATTTCACACTCTAGCAAGGATATGCTCAAAATATTACAAGGTAGGATTCAGCAGTATGTGGACCAAGAACAACCAGAAGTACAAGATGGATTTTGAAGAGGCAAAGGAACTAGAGACCAAATTGCTAACATGCACTAGATTATAGAGAAAGCCAGAGAGTTCCAGAAAAACATCTACTTCTGCTTCATTGACTACACAAAAGCCTTTGACTGTGTGGACCACAGCAAACTATGGCAAGTTCTTAAAGAAATGGGACTGCCTGACCACCTTATCTAT